TTTTCTGTTTTCTCTGTTCTAAGTGGGACTCTACTGATTTTTTTCCCAATCTGTTCTGCAATGAATTTTATTGAATTAAAGGTAGCATCCCTTTAAAATAAATTTAAAAAACTAAAATGAAGTTGTACAAGCATGCATCACGAGGTAAACCAGTGATGACATTTGCTCAGACTATACCAGAGCAGACACCAGTTCATGACATGGTCCACGTGAAGGTATTTTTATTCACTACAAAAGGACAGTAACAGTGGCAACACAATGGTCACAGAATGAGACCATAAATACACTTGAACTTTTTGTGAATTCTGACTAGGCTCTGACAAGCCTATCATTCTTTTCTCACCAGTCAGGTCAGCAGAACTCTTCTGCTAATGCCATAAACTTTAAAGCTCTTAGTCCGGCTGGAAATGACTACAATTGAGAACCTTTTTCTTAGCTAGCTGCTTCCCTAAATTAGAATTGTCTAGCAGGCTAATTTCAGCATAACAAAAGGTATCATCTGGCTGGCTGCATCATGCACTGGTCACAGGATCAGGTTTAGTGAGTTTTGCGCTCAGATTGCTGGGCCTCCTGGCTGGTCTTGTCCATCTCTGCACCTTGGTCCCGAACATTCTGAGCTGAAGATAAAACGGACCTACCAGCCAGTTGAGGGGACGTGTTGTTAACATGTTAATTCATCGCATCATCTAAAGATTCCTTCATTTTCTGCAGTTTCCTTTTGCTAGAAGTGAGGAGGCCATGAGATACTTCCTCAATAGAGGCAGCATTGCAGAACTAAGTAGATGCCACCTGCCATCACTCCACAGTGGTTGGCCTGATCTTGAATGTTCTGTGGTAACCCTCGGATGTTGAACTAGAAGGTATGGCACATGGTCTGGAGCTGCTGAGTCAGGTCGTAGGCAATAGCAAGAGTACGTGACAATGTGCTCAGTACAATGGGATTCGCTGGCATTACCATAGCCAATGCTTCTCTTCCACGCCACCCAGGAGAGACAGAGATTATCCTGAGCATCTTGAATTCTCTGGTTGGCACTACGCACATTCTTTCCAGGAAATTCAATCAGGTGAACAGTAGAATGGAGCTGAGAAATGGTCTCTTGGCTTTTTTGCTTAGCTTCTTTAATCCTGCTGAGAGCCTGCTGGTAGGCACGTGAGCGGAGCTTGGTAGATGGGGATCCCAGTCTAACATAATAATTTGGCTTCTGAACCATAACAAATCCTTCAACTTTTTTTTGCTTTTTTTTTCTTCTAGTTCTTCCTCAGTGAGAGGGAGGTACTTGTCAACAAGCAGCTCTGATATGGTGAGTGCATTTTCTACTCCAGTACTCACCAGCGGCATCATCCGACTTCCCAAGACTGTGTTAGTGCTGCTGTTGGCCACAGACTTGGTCTTCTCCACATTACCTGTCTTTGGTCTTATGCATCACCCTTTTGATTGTGCTGTCCATGGAATACTTGGCCCCTCACAGATGTTCTCACAGTATCTTTTGCCCTGGTCAGGGCACATTTGGCCTTGGCAACAATGTGGTTTGTTGGCTGATTCAGAATAGACAGTCTCTCCTCAATACTGTCTAGCCCCTTACAGAGATAGATATTGGCAACTGAAGTTTGTGGCTCTAGCTTCTGGATGATGGGCAGAGCACTCATCAAGGCCACTGAGGTGACGGTCTGCATGCCCTTCTCTGCCATCTCACACACAGGCTTCAAGTGGGGATGCTGGTCTTTGGACTGACATAAGCTGAGGACATGAGGTCATATGTGGGAGCTTACCGAGGGTAGATTAGCCACTCTAGTCACCACACGTGGTTGTGGATCAACTGCAATCAATGCCATTTTTCTTCCTGGAAAAAGAAGAAATTGACTGACAGCAGTGAAGAGGCAATAGGCAGGCGAGTCCCACAGCTGGCTCCGGCAACCCTGACATATTCTTCTACTGATTTTAAGAAAGATTTGCAGTTTTGTTTTCACCATTACTTGTGTAACTATAGCTTTATTAAATATTTTTATTTTTCATAAATCTGTATTAGTAAGGGTTCTCTACATAAACAGAACTAATAGGAGAGATAGGTAGATGGATAAGAAATTGGCTTACACAATCATGGGGGCTGAGAAGTCCCAAGATCTTCAGTCAGCCAGGTGGAAACCCAGGAGGCCAACGATATATTTCTAGTCAAAGCCCAAAGACCAGGGGACCACTGGTGTAAGGTCCACGAGTCCAAGTCTTAAGGCAAGAGAAGACCGATGTCTCAGCTCAAAGACAGGCAGAGAGTAAGTTCTCCCTTACTCTTCCTTTTTGTTCTTTTCAGGATTGCATGCAGACCTCCCACACTGGGGAGACAATCTGCTTTACTCAATCTCCTGCTTCAAATGTTAAAATCATACAGAAACACCCTCTCAGGCACATCTAGAATAATGTTTAATCAAATGTCTGGGCACATCATGCCCAGTCAAGTTGACATAAAATTAGCCATCACAAGTCTACTCCTTGTCAACTTGGGACCCATATGCATATCCTTCAACCATACTTAATCTTCAGATAAAGACAATAACAAGGTCATAATTTTTCCTAACATGATACAACTATACTGTGTACAACCAAAGAAGCACTGATGTCTTCCCCAGAAGAAGCAGTGAAGTCCATGAGTAATGTTTACTTTTTTCCTTGATATCCTGTACTTAAATACTATGATGTAAAATTAACAATATTTAAGTACTACAATATAAAGTCAATACATTTTTCTTTACATGATAAGAAAATAAGAGAGGGAAAAACAAAGACTATAAATATATACATATAATATATATATAAATATTATATATATATTTGTGTGCATGTGTGTGACCACACATAAACATTCATAACAAAATAAGGAGGAAATACTCATGATACCTACAGTCCTTGTTTCTGTAACTGGTCATGAGGTTGCAGCTGGCATTTATTACCACCTTTTCCCACTACCTACTCTGTATTCTCTTTGCCTTCAGCAAGCACCTTAGCTGGTCATGGGTTCTATACTTGGTAAAGTGACCCAAATCCTTATTCGTGAAGGGTTTGAGACACTAGTAATCCTGCCTGGATTGGGTTGTAGTTTTCTGTTGACCTTAATCACAGGGCATGGTAAGACTAAGAAATGCCCTAAAGGCTCTCCCATATTCCAGACATACTCTTCCTTATCTTTCTCATGGAGTAGCAGTTTAATTTCCCTTTGGTAGTCAGGATCAATCATCCCATCCAGCATAGTAACTCCCTTCTTTGCCTGTTGGTTCAAGGACATGAGGAGCCCAAAGTAGCCAGGCAGCAGACTTAATTTCCAGTTCAATAAAATTATTGTTGTGTCTCCTGGTGGAAGTATTTCTCCTTCTAGAACTAAGACCTCTAGGCCATCAGAGCATAACTTTGCAGGAATAGAAAGCAAAAATTTTGCTAGTGGGTCACTAGGGCTAATAGTGAGTGGTGCCACTTCCATTTCCACCCCTTGATTCTGAGACCCTTGAATCCCGGCTATGGGAGAAACAGCACCATATATTGGACAGTAATTCAGAGCACACAAGGTCATCTGGAGAACATTGCCCCAGCCCTGCAGGGTCTTGCCACCTAGCTGGTGCTGTAACTGAGTTTTTGGAAGGCCATTTCGCTGTTCTGTCAAGCCAGCTGTTTCAGGATGGTAGGAAACCTGGTAAGACCAATGAATTCCGTAAGCATGGGCCTTTGCTGCACTTATTCATCTGTAAAGTGAGTTTCTTGATCAGAAGCAAAGCTGTGTAGAATATCACAATGGTGTAAAGTCCACAGATGGCAGTTTTGGCAGAAGCATTGCATACAGGGAAGGCAAATCCATATCTTGAGTAAGTGCCAGTAAGAACAAAATGTTGTCCTTCTATGATGGAAGAAGTTTAGTGTAATCAACCTGCCATTAGGGAGCTGGCTGATCACCTTGGGGAATGGTGCCATATTGGGGATTCAGCGTTGGTCTCTGCTGCTGGCAGATTGGGCACTCTGCTATGGCCACAGACAGGACAGCCATGATGAATGGAAGTCCATGTTGCTGAGCCCAGTCATGACCTCCTTCCTTGCCACCATGGCTATTTTGTTCATGAGCCCACTGGGCAATGACAGGGGTGACTGGGGAATGAAACTAACTGGTATCCATAGAACTTGTCATCCTATCCATTTGATTAAAATCCTTCTCTGCTAAGGTCAGCCTTTGGTGAGCATTCACAGGGGGATATAAATACCTTTATGGTATGCTATGGTTTGACCATTCAGAGAAGTCTATCCACATACCTCTTCCCCGAATTTTCATGTCACCAATTTTCCAATCTTGCTCCTTCCAAGTCTCTGACCATCTGCTAAACTGTTGGCCACAAGCCTTGAATCGGGATATAATCACACATCTGGCCATTTCTCTTTCCAAGCAAAGTGCACAACGAGGTGCACTGTCCAAAGTCCTGCCCACTGGGAGGATTTCCTTTCACCACTGTCCTTCATGATGTCCCAGAAAGGGTCTGTAGTGCTATAGCTGTCCACTTTGGGGTAGTGCCTGCACGTCGAGCAGAACCGTCTGTAAACCAGGCCTGAGCATTCTCTTCCCATCAGCTGATCGTAGACAGCTCCCCATGAGGCCACAGGTGCGGGCCGGGAGAAAGAAGGCAGCGTAGCATAAGGCTTGTCCTCTGTTGTCTTCATTTTGTTTTCTGTATGTGCTTCTGTTGCTACTAAGAAATATTTACAATTTTGTTCTCACTGTTACTTTTATAATATAGCTTTATTTAACATTCTTATTTATTCGTATCTTTAGACACTATTTTACCTAATATGAGCAATGATAAAATTGAGATTGTTTCTAGTTTTCCTCCTTTCTCTACCTCATCTCCATCACCTAGTTTTCGAATTTACCTTTGCATTTTGAAATACTTACACAGACATTACTTAGTGTCATTAAAAATTTTTTTTTATTTTTTCCAAAAAACCCCAAAATACTTATTTTGAGATTCGAGAATTATGGGAAACCCAAGTAATGGGAATCGGAAGCACCACCCTCTGCTGCAGCTCGATGCTTCTTTAGTTTAGCAATCAGTTGTTTTGCTGGATTGAAGACGCCGTTGGTCTGCTGGTCACAGACATAGCAGCGCGGGGTGGTGCGGAAATGCTGCAGGGCGCAGCTCTCACAGAAATAATGCCTGCACTTGGTGACAACTGGGTTTCGGAAGGTCTGGCGACAGATGAAACACTTGAATGGTATTTCCTCGTCATCGCTGCCCACTTCGTAGTTTTCATCCTTGCAGACACCATAGCGACCCTCCTGAAGCTCACGTTCGATCTGCCACCCGTGCTTGTAGTCTGAACGGTCATGGAGGAATTTGCAGCTGTCTCCGAAGCCGCAGAAGCCAGTCTCCTTGTAGTCCTTACAGATGTCGGGCTGGTAATCCCAGCGCACGGTGGCACGGAGGTGCTCGGGCGCTCGGAGGGGACCCTTCCTCCCCATCCCGCAGGAGGCGCCGCCCACACACGCACCCTGGGACTTCGCGTATTGCTGATAATTATTGATGCCCCGATAGATCTTGTCGTCGTCCTTGCCCCGCAGCTCCTCCCGGATCCTCCGGCTGCGCTCGAAGATGGCCCGCGCGTCGCGCTCCTTGTCGGTGTCTAGCTCGTAGGCAGCCGTGGCGCCCATGTCCTGCGGCCCCGCGGGCTCCGCGGAGCGCGTGGACCTGTAGGCCAGGCCGAGGCTCTCGGGCTCGCGCTTCCCCCGCTCGTCCTCCCCGCTGCTCAGGTCGCCGAGAGCCGCCTTCGGTCTGCCCCTGCCGCGGGTCTCCTGGGTCATCGGGTCGCGGGTCGGCCGCCTCCTCTCGGGTCGCACCACAGAGCTGCCCTCGTCGCTGCTGCCGCTGCCGTCTCCGGGTTCCGGGTCGCAGGCCGCGCGCTGTCTGCGGCCCGCGGCCGCTTTCCGTCCAGGCTTTTTGAAGTGGAAGGGGCACACCCGGTCTGCCGTCTTTCCTGGGGACAGTCGCTCTGCCATGGTCGAGTCCCGAGCTCCCAAACGGCTGCGGCGTGCCGGCTCGCGCGGGCCTCTGCGCGTCACTCTTCTGCTCGGCCGCGACAGGGAGCGCCAGAATGGGTCACTTTTAAATGACGTCCTTTTACGCCGGGTTCTACACACGGGACAGTCACTGTATTTTCCTCTCACTTTCCCATTCCTCTTCCATTTTTTTTTAACGGTGTAATTTCTACCTTGTTAAGGCATACAATATTTATATTCTCTTGTGTCATTCTAATCTCCACATTTTAAAAAGTTCTACATTTTATAAATAAACCTGCATTTGTGTCATGCATCAAGTCATACATAGATGAAGTTATGAGAACAACGTAAAGACATTCAGTTCTGTATTTGTTTTAAGCGAAATTAAGCAAAAACATCAGGAAATTATAAACTCAATAAAACTAGATGGAACTCTTAAATCCAATGATTTGAAAAGAAAGATGGACTAAAACATTTTTCTGGCAATAATCCTTTTCATTTGGACTTTTCTGTTCTCTTTCCAACATGCAAAAAAGAAAAAAAATCAAGCAAGAAATCAAAAAGCAGCTATACAGTGTCATCAAATCCATGTAAATCCACATATGGTTTGGAAATATTTGAGACCTAGCCACATATAAGCAAAGGCAGATGCTTAACTTTTTTCTTTTTTTCCATTGACAGTATCAGTGTTATTAACTCTGCTGGATGATATTGGAAGTATTCTCAGTTCCACCCACTTAAACTCATTGCACCTTGACACAACACCCCAGATTTGATAGCCTTTTTGTCCTTTCAGATCCCAAGAGCCAGCCCAAAGTCCACTGCTTTTGAGTGGGCTTCAGGAGGAGTGGGCTCCAGAAGCCAAATCTTATTCCTTGTACCTCTGGAACTGATCTGACCTCCAGGAGTTTGAGGCAAAGGTCTCTAAATGTCTGATGAGTTCCAGCGTGGTAGTCATCAGTTTTGCTGATGCTCTGACAGCTGGGGCACTTCAAAAAGAAGTCATGGTTTATTGTTTATCCCTATTTTTGCATAAGTCACTTCGCCTTCCTTAGCTCCTAAAATGTGAATAATAATGCTTCTTTTCTAGTTTCACAAACTCCATTTCCTTTGGATGTGAGGAACAATGCATGTGGAAGTACATTATAAGCTGTACTATACTAAATGAACGTTTGGTGGCAGTTAGAAAGGAGAAGATAGCACAAAACCACTTATCCTGTAGTCTCAGTGATAGAAACCAGTGGAAGAGAGCACATGGTAAGATTCTAAAATTCTGTTTAATTTTCTTTATTCAGTTTCATATTGCTAAGTACTAAATATTCAAGTTCACACTAATTATGTATCAGAGCTGGTAAGTGTAGCTTGACATATGATCTACACACCTGGCCTGGAGAGAATATCAGTGCCAACCATGTTCTTGGACTCGCTTTCCTGAAAGACTTTTATCCACATATTATCCATATTTAAATTCTTTAAAATCTTGTGAATAGGGATTTTATTGGACCTAACAAAACTATTGCCAAATGGGACATTTTTTTTTTTTTATTCCTTTTTGTCTTTTTTTACTGACCGGTAATGGGATCTCAACCCTCGGTGTCGCGTCCGTACCGGGACTGGCAACAGGATCGCCACCCTCGGTGTTGCGCCCGCACTGCGCTCAGCCAGTGAGCGGGAAGCGGTCTCCACGTGGGACCCGAACCCTCGGCAGGAGCACCGCCGTGCTCCCGAGCGGCGCACTCTCCAGTGCGCCACCGGGCCGGCCCGGGACATTTAATAGTAGGGCAAACTTCTGTACAAATTTTTAAACACAATGGTGTTTAAAAGTTTGCGAGTAGTTTTTTTTTTGATCTTGTGACTTTGCATAGTTTGACTCAATGTGTCTTTAAAACTTTGACTCTGATTTTCAAAACTAACTAGGTTATTTAAACAGGCCTAACAGTTGAGTGAAATTTTTCTGTTGCATTAGATTTGGTCTCCAATGATTGGGGTTTGAATGCCTGCTAAGTTTCTGAGAAAATGCCCTCAAGTGGGCAACCCTCTGTTCCCCATTGAAGGTGTATGGAACTCATGTTTTAGAACCAAAGGTTAATGTACAAAAACTCAATCACAAACATTGAATTGGAGACTGCAAATAGAAACTGGGAGTCCTGCAGTATCCTAGCTTTTAAAATTTCTCTTCATATCATTCATCAGTGGGGTAAGAGTGGGACAAGAGGTCTTCTAGTTCCCAAGGCTTTTGAGGCCTTTGGACTACGAGTCCCCAGAAATCTCTTTGAACCATACATGAAGGTGACAAAGACAACTTAAACTGAGTATTCAGTCACTTATAGTCTATAATTAAAATTATTGATAAAAATATTTTGATAACACCGCATTTACTATGATGAGCCAATCAGCATACTAAGTTTGGCATAGATTATCTTATGTAATCTCATAACAATCCTATGAGCTAAGTATAATTAGTCCATTTCACCAATCAGTAACCAAGGTGTAGAAAGCTCAAGGAACTTGTTGAGGCCTATCCGCAAAGCTTGTGTTCTTAATTATGATGTCTCCAAATTCTTTCATCTAAGCATGATATCTGTTTTATTAAATTTTGGCTTTGTAATATTGTAGCATGGCAGAACTTCATCACTTTTCTTTCAAAAATTTAAGAACAATAAAGATTTGAGTAAATACATATGGACAATGTGGACATTTGGAGAACAAATGTTGATTTTCAGACTCCCTTTTGGCATTTTACTTGAATAAGTGTTCATATATATGTATACATATGTGTGTATATATATTCATCCACTGAAACTGAAATTAGGTCGAAGTTGAACTTGCCTGATGTCCAGTGGATGATGACATTTTACAAACATCCATTTGACACACAAACATGCTGAACTCAGGATAATATCTAACATAAAAAAATGTGGAAAAAGAACCATCCCAAGTTTACACTGACCCAATGCAGTTGTTTATTGTCATCCCATCAAACCAAACATTCCTTCTGGAAATGCAATTGATTCTTTAGGTGAAGAGAATTTCAAAAGCCTGCACTTGAATCGGCAGCTTCTCGGAAGATCTGAGAAATCTGTTTGCTCACAACTCATATGGAAATGCAATTGATTCTTTAGGTGAAGAGAATTTCAAAAGCCTGCACTTGAATCGGCAGCCTCTCAGAAGATCTGAGAAATCTGTTTGCTCACAACTCATGCAGTGGTGGTGATTTCGGTCTCTGGGTGAGCTTACACATTTCTGATCTTGTGTAGAAGGTAATGTGAGTTTTAAAAACTAATGTCAGTTTTACCAATTTTCTATTTGAAAGGGATATAAATTAGTAGTACATGTTTTATTAATTTTTAGTCTTACAGAGTTTATCTATCCCTACCATGTAATCTTATTGGCTTGAAATAAAATTTCCTGTAGATATTTAATTTGATTTGATCTACCACATATTTTTAGTTTAATATAGACATCTATTAAAGTTTGCTAGTCACATGGATATATGCAGACATATTGTTGCCTAAGGCTGAGTATATATGAGACAGTGGCTCAGTAAACTATAATTCATTCAGTCAGATGATTTCTTTCTTGAAGTTGGAACAAGAGGCATTTCTGAGCTCTCTTAACATAGACGTGTTAAACGTAAGGCTCATACGACTTGAATAATTCATTCAGTCAGATGATTTCTTTCTTGAAGTTGGAACAAGAGGCATTTCTGAGCTCTGTTAACATAGACATGTTAAACGTAAGGCTCATACGATTTGTGTAGACATGGAGATCATGAGTTTCTCTAATGATTAAAATATGATTGCATTTCAATAGGTGCTTTCTATACTATTTGTGATAAATAATATTTTTGGTTATCCATTTGATGGACAAGTCATCTTACCCTCATAACTAATTTTGGGAATGTAAGGGATTCTGTCACTTTTTTAGGAATACTTGAACTATACATTTTCAAAGTTACAGTATCATTAAGTCTTAGGCAAACATGCTATTTCTCACAATAGACAATGGCTGTATACACCAAAAGCAATACATGAAATCAGAAATTTTGTTGCTATTGTTTTTAAAAGGGGGTAGATTAAGAGACTTATCCTGATAAATTATTAATCTCCGCAATGTTCCTTGCACACCATCCATTTCTCAGAGGATCAAGAAGTGTGGAGATTTAAGAGGTAGGACCAGTAAGCAGGTGGTTGGTTTCTTGCTAGAATTCTTTGGTATTGTAAGGAGCCTCCGTGTCAGATAGTGCCACTTTCTGCAGAGATGACCCTGCTAACATGGTGTTCCTCCTGGGCAAGATGAAGAAGAGCTAAAGGTACAGAAGCCCCATAGACCAGGCTTCTGCCACCCTGTATGTTTCACAGAATTTCATCTCAGGTGAAGAGATGTCACTGGAAAAAAAGTTATTGACCCTCAACACCTGCCAGCATTAGAAGAACTAAATTAAGCTTTCTAAGCCTCAGTTTCCTCTTCTGAAAAATGAGGTTCATGGTACTCATACATTTGTACCATAGGGCTGTTTGAGAATTGAGTAAAACAAAGTAGGAAAATACATGACACAGTGCCTGAAAAACTTCAAGCCTTCACTAAGTAATCATTCTTTATATCTTTAATGAAGACATACTATGGCTCAGAATGTGAAATATTTGTTCTTGCCAGAAAGAGTCAAGCTGGAGATTATTTATTTGGTTGGGCATGTGCCAGATTTGCTCTGGGGAAAAAGTTTCAGAGCACTGTAGTGGTGCATCAACAACAACCAACCCAAAGAAGCAATATGCACCAAATTTTCATCAACCCACAACCTCTCTTGGGAAGTTTTTACTCATGTGGCATATCTTCAACATAGTTAAATGATAAGTCATCTATGCTAGAAAAAATATTACCTGTTTCAATAAACTTATTTCATAATTTATCTCACCTTTCATTGTCTTTTCTCTAGAAAATAGCTTCAGAAAATGTTTTTTTTTTCTTTAAAGTTCAGTTTCAATTTACACTGTAAAACT